ATTATCTCACCATTTGATCCACACAAATAGGATCATGTAATTGTTTGTTTGTTTGTTTGAGATTAATTGAACCAGTACTAATAGATTGAGTAATGTGTGAAAATGTTAGCGATTCTAAGAAAATTCCGAAAACTGTCTCAAATTTCTAATAATGAAATCAATTGAAATCCCTTTAGATATATGGCGCGAAGCATGCAATTTAAAGTTAACTACCATTATTAATATGCCCATTTATTCTACCACTAAAAATGTTTGCCAATTCTATCATTTTGCTAGCACGATCTTTCAAAATACGACTCCATAGTATTTTAAATGACTGGTCATCCTGAGGGTGGTTCTTGGGCGAGGGACTTGCTAGAGCTGAAGTCAAATAACACGCGTTTGAATGTGGATTGCCTTAACTGTATCGTCTTCACCTTCCCAATAGATTTGACACACAATGTGCCAGTATGTTCACCCTATGGAGAAAGACAATGTTATAGTTGTAAGAAGATTAGGATATCCAGTTTGTCAGAAATGACAGAAGGGAGAACAGAGTGAGTCATTTAGTCCCACATCACTTGCAGACAAGAACTAAGTTTTATTAATAAGGCCTTTCTTGTGAATAATTATCGCCGAGCTCAGAAACGTGAGCTTGTAACTCAAGTGAGGGCATTAAAGTGATTGGACTTTGGGCTTTGGCTAACCTGGTTGGGCTTGTGGTGCACGTACTGACTCGCCCGTTCCAAGTTGGGAGTTGGGCCATGTGTCACGGGCTAAGGCCTGTGAAACTTGGTTCCTAGAGAGGAGGGCACCTCGTCAGGCTGGCTTCACAGAGCAGCGAAAACCTCCCTCTCTCGACAGTGGAAGGATAACGAGATAGGTGCTCTTTGAGCCCATGAAGGCCAGATGGCCCAGCCCAAAGAACAATCACTTTTTTCTCAAACAGAGTTTGGGATTACTTGGCGGGAAACTATGGAGTTATTTGGCGGGAAAGTAAATAAAACCACAATTTTGCATAATAAATAGTTCAATTTTTTAAATTTCAATAATAAGAAATTAACAATCTTGTTCAATTGCTTTCATTTAAATCCATTTCAAGATCATACCTACTGAAAGCAACGGAAGACAATGAAAGGACAGTGAACCCCATCAAAGAAAACTCAACGTTGATGAGGGATTTATGTGTTTTTCTGCAGTAAGAGCCCTTTAATCTTCAGAATTCATGTAAAATTTTCATTTTTATGGATACTCAATTATAAATTTTTCTTTGTTGATCTGTATATAGGCAAGGATTAAAGATTTTCGACTATCGGAGCAGAGATGAAGCTAATCACTTTAGAAAGGTATATATAATTAACAATGGGTTTTTATCGTTTTAAAGAATTATTACAATTATATGTTTTGAACATGTTGAAATTGAAATCATGTTTAGGAGTTTCAATAAGCAGACGTAATTTCTGCTCTTCTGAATCGGAGTTATGACTTAGGGTTATATTCACAAAGCTCATCCATTATTTGTTCTTTTATATATTGCATTCAATTTACTTTCTTGATTGGAATTTGAAACTTTTGTTTATATTGACGCGATAGAAACTACTTCGGATGTGGTGGATGAACCCTGATCGATGCGGTTCAGGCCGTTTGATTGAACTACACTAAGCTGATACGTAAAGGGGAGCAAAGCCCGTTTTTTGCTTCCTCTATTGATAGATCAGGGGCCCTCCTGCTGTCGTTTCAGTTACTCATAGGGCTTCTATGCTGAAATACATGTATTGACAACCATATTGTCGAAGGGATAGTAAAAATCTGAAATCCTTGTAATATGACCATATTCTTGTTTTTAATGAACCCCCTCTATTGTTCGGGGCTTATGGTAAGGGATAAGATTGTTTTTGAATGAAGGAATGGCACCCGTGCAACATACTCATTGAACAGATCGTGATTCATGCTATTAACTACACTATCTGATGCTGCTGCTGATGGCATTTGCTCCTTTGTGGACACATCTGATGCTTCGTTGCATCATGGTTTACTTGCTAATGCAGAGCTGGATAATTAATTGTATCTCTTAACGAAAAAATAAAAAATCTTTCTACGGTATTGGTAATTACTTTGTGTTCTTTTGTATATATCACTTTGATCTGTTGGATGCATGTAAGTTTAATTGTGTCCTTTTGTTGCTTCCTCCAGGAACTTAAGAAATCTAATGACCTGCAAAAAGAGCTCCAAGCAGTCTATCACCAATAGTTGTGCTGAGTCTGTGAACTAGTTATTAAAACAGCTTGGGCAGACTCCTGTGCAGGGCATGTTCCAAGGTATTTTGACCATTTTATTCTACCTAAACTGTTATATAAATGTTCTAATACAATACAATAAGAGGCAAAAACTCTACGGTTTCATTTGTTGGTTGTTCATGTGTTATTGTTAACACGAGTATTCAAATTACACTCAACTAAAAAGTCTTTAAGAAAATAGAAGAGATGTTGGGTTTCATGGGAGTTTTCTTCTCCAATACTAGATACTAGCATGGGGTACCTCCATACCTGGTACAGTGCCAGTTTAAAATATTATTGATTTATGAATCTCGTATAGCTTGCAACTTATATCTTTAGCAAATGCACTATTTGAACTTAACTTGGTGCATAAGTTTAACTGAGTCGTTTTGCATATTGTTTATCGTTTTATGAAGCTCCACTGTAATCTAGGGAAGAATATGACTAATGTATCAGCTATTTTAACTCACAATAGTTTATAGGAGGCATAACGGATGGATTTATAGCTCTATCAATCTTCATAATCTCTGTTGTCATTCCTCCACCACTCTTTGCACTCAAGAAATTGTGCAGTAAGTGTAGCTTGGCTCTGCATAGTACTCAAGAACATCTGAAATATATAACCACTGCGTTTTCTATATTTTATTATGCATTAATAGTCCAGAAGAATACTATTTGAAATATCGATACAAAATTAATCTTAGGTTGTTTTATGCCCCAGAAATGGTGAAAACTGCAGCTAAGCTTCAAGAAAAAGTGGAGAGTCCAAAGAACAAAAGAATGGCTGAAATGGAATGTATTAGAACAAAGAGAATAAATGGTCCAATGTCCAAACAATGAGCAGACTTCTTCACATCATGTCAAGGGTAAGTATTGAGCAGTTGCTTAAGTTACAGACAAAGTGACAAAAAAAAGTTAATTTCTTGAATGATTTCTTCTTCGTATTGTAGAATTCTCGGATATTGGCACAGGCGGTCTTCGTATTCGTGAGCTTCTAGCTACTTGTGGAAGTGGAATTTGATTGTATGAAGTATCCATTACATGGCATGTTAGGATAGAGTGTAAGTGAGTATCCCACTTAATTAGTTGAGCCAGATGATGGTTTTGGTTTTCATTAACAATACCTATATTGTTAACATATGTGGAATTGCGAGTTTTATTAACATCCTTTAGGAACATTTTTGTGATACTTGGTAGGCGTTACAAGATAGACATGTGCTTAGCAGGCCTTAGTTTGTTGTTTAGGGTTGTGTTGTGTTGTCAATGGATGCTGCAATAGATATCACACTATTAGAATATGATATTATCCTGAATCTCTTCCTAAGTTCATAATCCACAGTCTCCCACTTGCTATAAACCCAATGGAATCTCTAAGGGATTATTATAAACACTGTCACACACTCACACTGATGAGCACCTGTCAATAAACACTGAAGAAATTATTGTGCATATTGTGCCGAAGAAGTCATAGATGATGAGCACTCTTTAGTAAACACTGAAGAAAATAAGAAAGTA